GCCTCTCCGGCTTCTAGGCCAGAGCAGGGGGAAGGGAGGGGAGGGGGCGGTGAGGCGGGGCTTTCCCCGGCTTCTTGTTGAAAGAGAAGAAAGTGTACTGTAACACCCCTGCATCTTGGCCTCGCGCTGCCCACAGACAGCCGGACCGAGGGACACACCTCCCAAGCCGCCCAGCCCCGCGGCTTCCCCAGCTCGGGAGACGCAGGTTGGCTGGGACCAGGGCCGCTGCAGACCGGTGAGAACCTGCTCACCCGGCTTCTGGGAGATGCTGGCAACCTAGGGCCTGCTTGACTGTTGCCGGGTCACCCCATCTCTGCCTGCACGCTCACCCCGCGCGTCTGTCTGTGTGACTGCCCCTCACACGAAGGTGCCGTGCGCTGCCCGCGGGCTCCCAGGTCCGGGTGCAGACTCTTCACCCACTCCGGCCTCAGGGCCTGCTTCCAGATGAGGTCCCCTTCCGAGGCGGTGGCAGTTAGGATTTCAAGGTGTGATATTGGGGGCACAGGATTCAGCCCACAACACCTGGGGCGCCCCCTGCCCCGCCCTGCCTCCCGGGTCCCCAAAGCCACGCCCACCCCCCTCCTCCCCCGCCTCCTTCAGGTGGGCTCCACAGGCAGCCGTCCTGGGACCGTGGGCGCCACGGGCCCACCGAGGTCCAGGTCTCCTCCCCGGCCTGGGGCAGGGCTTCGCACGGTGGCCATCAGGCCCGGCCCTGCGATTTGCGTGGGCCAGGGCACCTGCCAGGGGGCCAGGAAGCCCCCAGCACCAGAAGCACAACCTGCTGCCTATCCTTCCAGGGGAAGCTGTGGGGAGGCTGAGACAGCCCCCGCCGGGCCCCAGGAGGCAGAAGCCCCGCAGGCAGGGGGCCAGGGAGCTTGTCCCGGGGGCACCTTTCCCTGTGGCCCTGGCCAGGCAGCCCAGTGCTGCTTCCCTGAGGCGAGGTTCTTCCAGCCATTGCCCCGCTGGTCACCGTACTGTCCCTGTTACAGGGCGGGGAGAAGGGCACCCCTGAACCCTCAGACCTGCCAGCTCTAAATAGGTTCTGCCGTCTGCCGCATCAAGACATCTAAGACCTTTCATGGAAGGGAACTTTAATACAATCAGTGCGCAATACAGAAGGGACAAAGAATATGGTTTCGAAATCAAAGACGCAAGCTGCCCCTCGCCTGTGGTAAAGTCCACCCAAAGGGGCTGGCCCGGAGCAAGGCCTGACAGCCCGCCACAGTCTAAAGTCCCTTCTGGCAGGGGCCGTAGAAAAGGGTCAGACAGGGCCAGACGGGTCTGGGAGGAAAAGAGCAACATCAAGACCCCGATGAGCGCTGCCACAGTCACCTCCCCCGAGTCTCCCCACGTCTGTGACCCCCAGTCCAGGGCCCAGAAGCAGCAAGCGCAGTTTCTTCAC